GTTCGGGCAGATGACGTGACGAAAAATAATATTTTAATTAAATTCGGGCGGGTGAAATGAAAAAATTAAAATGAAAAAAAGTTTAAAATGTGTGCTTACTGGGAACATAATAAAGACACCTGGACTCGGTCGAGACCAAAAGCCATATTTGGCAAGACCAGTGGCCGAGACCGAGACAAGTCCGAGTCCGAATACCAGCGAGTCCGAGACAAGTCCGAGACCATAAAAAAACGGTCTCGAGACCGGACTCGAGTACTACAGCCCTGCCTCATAGTAATTTTGTAATAAATAAATTAAATTGAAATGACTGACAGTTTACTTTCGGTTTCGTACATTTATATATTTGGGGTAGAAAACACGGACTAAGTTTAAGCAAAATAATTTGTGAAGATCCAGAATAATGAATAGATAAATAATAATTACAAATAAACACTACGACTGAATTTACTCGAATTTAAACGTGATACGTGAATTCCCGAGAGTTCGGATGTTCGTTACAGCCCGAGTATCACACCCTTATTATTCTGGAATAAAACCGCTGTTTTGATGTAAACAATGATCTTCTTTATTGTTCTTCGTTGTAGCTCTTTTCTCTCCCCCATAAAATGAGAGATGAGAATCCAGACCTCAGTGTATCAGCATGGAGGAAAGAGCTGCCTTCTACTATTAGGTAACTTTATATTAATAGTAACCTTATATTAAGATTTTGTCATTGTACTATTATTTTTCTATTAAATATTACGATGTGCTGTTGGCAGATGTTTAAAAATAAAATCTTTGTTCTCAGCAGCTTCAGACTCAGGGTGTGAGTAACTGACCTGTCTGTCCTGCAGTGTATCTGTGCTGGGGAACCCAGGGACAGCCGACAGAATCTGCTCCTTCCGTCACTAACGTTACAGTGGGAGGGAGCTTCCAGTTTCCCTTCACACCTGATGGGAACCAAAACTACAGAGTTGAGCTGAAATTTAACTCCATGGTGCTGATTACTACATCGGTCTTTCAGTCACCCCCATTTATAAATGTAAACTACAAGGGAAGAGTGAAGATTCTGGAAAACCTGATACAGCTGGAAAACTTACAGCTTTTAGATTCAGGTTTTTATGACGTATATGTAGATTATTTTACAGGAAAAAAGGGGCAATACAGAAGGTTTCTTATACAGGTCTTTGGTGAGTATGCACAATCAAGTTCCAAGCTTCAATCAAGTGTCACGTTTTATATGTCATATACATAGACACCGTACATGTGTAGTGAAATGCTTTTATGTCAGGAGAAGTTCTTGTTTGGTATTCAGACAGCTTGAGGGTAGAAACTTGGTCTGAGTCCCTCAGTGTTAGTCTTAGTGCATCCCTGTCCGCAGCAGAGAGAACAGGGGGCTGTTTATGGATCACATAGCCTACACAGGGCTCCTCTGCCAGGCCTGCTGTGGCTCCCAAATCAGGCTGATGTTCCCAATCAGGCTGGTTTTGATGGTACCTTGAGTATCTTGAGGCCCAGTCTGAACGTCTTTAGCATCCTAAGGTTGATGTGCTTTTTTGACAATGGCGCTGGTCTGCACTGCCTGTGTCAGGGCCTCTGATATGGACACACAGGTATCTGAGGCTGGGCACCCTCTCCAGTGCGAGGCTGTAATGGTGGAATAATGGTATCTGTTTCTCACTACAGAGCCAGTGTCTAAACCCAGTATCACTGCTGAGTGTCTGGGCAGTAACGTCACTCTGGCCTGCAGCAGCAGTCAGGGGACCAATGTGGAGTACAGCTGGGAAACTGCGCCCCCTTGTGGAGAGAGCTGCTTAGTGCATCTCGGTCCTGTTGTTGAAATAGCCCCCTCTGATGCACCGACCTCCTTATATTATACATGTAGAGCTCAGAATGAGTTCAGCAATGAGACCAGTGACCCTTTGGAGCTGAAATTATGCACCACACAGCCAACAGGTAACGTCTAAATGTATGTTCCAGAGTGTGTCTTTATCTAATAGTGTATAGTGATAGGCAGTCCTTCAGAAGTGGAAACTAAGATTATATTGATTTAAATCCCTTTCCCGAGAGCTTCATATTATAATTATTCTTCTGAGATGGTGAAAAAAGACAACAAAAATGTGGCAAGGCAATCTGTGAAATTGGTGCCAAAATCCTATTTTGACAAAAATGAAATCTGTAGAATACTTGTGCCTTTTAGAGGGAACACTGTTCTTTTCTAGACATAAGTGAAGCATAAAGCTGATTTTAAAATATGTAAATCATAATGTTGAGTGTCATCCAACAATCGAAGGAAACTAATTCACACACGGAACTCTTCTAAGAAGTAGGAAAAATTTTCCTTCATACAAATATGCTCTGAGTGTTAGTTTCAGTCAGAAGGTCTTAGTTACATTCATACCCATTTTATTATCACAGGTCGAAATCGGACCATGACCCTGTATACAGTAATATCAGTAGTACTTCTCACTGGAGCTGTGATCTGCATACAAAGATGGAGGAAGAGAAGGACCAGACAACAAAATATGGGTAATTATTACATAGAACTAAAACAGAACAAATCGATCATTTATTTTACCGATCATTTACTTTAATATACCTTGTTTATAAGTTTACTGAGAATGTTTGGTTTATATAAACGTTCTCTGCAGGTCCAGCTGAGCCTGGTAAAGATGAAGGTCTCTTAGCACCTCCTGCAATAGAACTGCAGGGCTGATCTACAGGAGAGGAAGACGAGGACCATCCATCTTCTTACTGCTTGCCCAGTACAGGGACATGGGGGGGCTGTATGTTATCCCAGGCAGCATGGGGCACAAGGCTGGGGGTCACTGGATGCCTCTCCCTCCTACTTATGCTGCCATAGCCATATCTGTCGGAGCATTGCACTTCATATTGCACTCATCTAACTTTTAGCACTGCCTATAGTCTCCCCTACTTTGACTAATTGCATATTTTATTTCCTGAATTTCTCCTGGGTGGTGCTGCCTGGAGCCCTTAATCTATCAAGATGTCCAGCACACCCTGCAACATGTGACGTCGCCTCTACCAATGACGTCCGTGCATCCAGCTCGCCGTTCTGCCTGTGTCATCTTCCATGTATGACCCGCTGCCTGCCTTCTGGTTGCCTGGCGATTGGAGGGAGCGTTGGCACCGGCTGTCATCTCCCCCCTGCTCCCCGTTTGTGTCTCAAAATTTACTGTATTTGACTCTCCCTGCTGGCCCCTGGAGGATGGGCTCCCCCTTTGAGTCTGGTCCCTCCCAAGGTTTCTTCCTTCTAGGGAGTTTTTCCTTGCCACTGTCACTTATGGCTTACTCACTGGGGGCTTTGGGTGGGGATGCTGTAAAGCGCTTTGAGACGATGTAATGTTGTGATAATGCGCTATACAAAAAATTGTTGTTGTTGTTATGATATCATTAGATGCCATCAGGTCCATGTCGACCCCTGGCATCCATGCAGATAACATTCCTCCAGAATGTTCCGTCTCCTCTCTGGATCATTGGGCTTCCCAAAGGCATGGTCATTGTTGTGATGACTGATTTTAAAACTTGTTGGTTTTCCACTTTTCCATTAGTTTTATAATATTGATTGTTAATATATTGATTGTTAATGCTTTTTATCAATAGTTAGGTAGGCAGATAAGGTTAAAGAGGCAATTATTTGGAGGACTGGAACGGATTAATTTTTATGGGGAAATGCTACTTGAAACTAAACCAAATCACAACTCACCTTCAAGAACTAATTAAGTTTGTGTTCCAAGGTACCACTTTATTAAAATTCTTTGCTAACACCAACATTCAACGGTGCCAGTAGCATATTAACACTAACTTCCCCATCATCACTGAAGCAGAATATTAATATTCCGTCATCGTTCCTTATACGCATCTTCAGACACCTTTCTGCTGTGGCTGAGGGCTCATTAACATGCTGAAAGCTGTTTCCTCCACCGCCTTTGAGTCACAGCCGTCTTATTTTTTTATTTTTTCCATGTTTATCCCATTATTTGTTAAATGTATTACTTGAACAGCTGTATTTAACTGCTTTACCAGTCTTGGGCCGTTCAGTTTCTCCATATCATATGCTGACTGCCTCATTGTCCTGTTTAAAGATGTGATGCTGGATTTTTGTATTTTTTTATGTTTATATGTTAATACTAATTTTTGATTTGTTTTTATACGATTTTGTAATAAAAAAATATAAATGTCATTTTGTGTCAAATCAGTAATCTGTGATATTGCAACTGAAATAAGTGCAGAATGTTCTCACATTTCTCAGCTCAGTGGGTAGATTTGAATGCCTTTTCTCTGGTGAAGGGGAAAGTGAAGTGGTTCTGCATATGATACTTTTGTGAGCTCAGGGTTGTGACAGTGGTTCTGTAGACCTGCATTCTGCATATAAAATTCATGTTATAGTAAACACCACAACCATCAACACACGATGATCTCTCTCAAGAATGAATCGCCAATACTAACAAAAAGCCATAAGAGTGTAAGTTAGCATGATTTCCGTTCCCTTTGTGCAGACCTGAAACCTGCATGCTGTAATAACACTGAGCCCCAATGACCACAGAGTACAGTCTGGGTTACAGCAGATCTCCACTTTATCTAATGCCATCTTCGCCCTGTTGATGAAAGGACATAAACTTCATTAAACTGTTCAAGAAATAAATGCATACTCAAGTTTTGTGATGGCTTTGTAGTTATGTAGTGAACAACAGACAAAACCTTCTGTTAAATGATTCAGTAATGTTTCATATTTAGTCAAAAATATACAATATACAAGCTAAAAAAATTAAATCTTTAAATGCAGAATTGTCATTTGTACAGGAAACTATATAGCAATGTACTGAAGAAAACCACAAACCTAAGATGTTGATGTGTACAGCCGTGGCCAAAAGTTTTGAGATTGACACAAATATTGTTTTTTGCCTCAGTTTTTATGATGGCAATTTGTATAAACTCCAGAATGTTATGATGAGTGATCAGATGAATTGCAATTAATTGCAAAGTCCCTCTTTGCCATGAAAATGAACTTAATCCACAAAAACCCGTTTCCACTGCATTTCAGCCCTGGCACAAAAGGACCTGCTGACATCATTTCAGTGGTTCTCTCGTTAACACAGGTAAGAGTGTATATGTGTTTCTGCTCTTTAACTGTTTTTCCATCTTGGCACTTCCTCTTCCTCACTGCAGTATGCAATGGAATTGCTTGCCACCTGCATTTTCATAAATAAAGTCAGCAAATGTTAGGTTAAATTAAATATCTTGTATATTCTCTCATTTCTCAGCTTAGTTGTTTTGAATGATTTGTCTCTGATAGAGGGAAAGGTTACATGGTCGTTTTGATATTTTGTGTGGGGTCAGACATTTATTCTTTTTGCCATGACATCTGATTTAGGCTTAACGCAATGTTAAATTAACCTTCATGTCAAAGTTTATTAAAATATAAAAACTCTTTAAATAACTATCAAACAAACCACAACATTAACATGAGCATAAAAAATATTAAGCTGTTCCTTGGCTGTATGTATGCAAATAAAGTGTAAGTGAATCTGATATAAACCTGTCTGTGGAATCAGGGTGGGGCTGTATGAAGTGAAATCGCCTGGTTCTGTCTGTCATTTTGGGCCCAGTTTAAACATCGGCTCTGACACAGTAGAGTTCATTCAGCTCAGACTGTGACTCTGCTCTCACCACCAGAAGGCAGTAGGACAGGTAACTCCACCAAAGGCAGTTACTCTATTTAAAAACCATTTTGTTAGCTGCAACGCGCCTGGTTCATATCTGCATGTATGTGCATGTTTCTTTTAGGATGAAGTGTGTTTGCTTTTGGGGGATATTTCTCATCTGTTGCTCTCTCAGTCAGTTTGGCAGTAAGTCACCTATCTTTTACATTTGTGTTTAGATTTAGAGCATACAGTGTAGATGTGTGTAATTATATATAAATTTAAAGAAAAATATTTTGCATTATTAAGTTATGTATAATATATAAATATATCTTTATTTGCTTTTATACGTAGTGATTCAATAGTGGTTTATTTATTTGTCTTTATCTGGAAATCAGATAATTGCAATTGGTACAATGTTTATCTTTTAAATATCACTTTAAGACTTAATACAGACTGGCCTAGTCAAGGCATTTATGAGTTAATATTTTTTCATTCATTCCTGGGTGACTGCTGGGTGGAACTTCATCTACCTCTGAATCAGTCCTTTGTAAGGTCTACATTTTTAAGATTCCTCTCCTGTCTCTCGTAGGTGCCAGAGTAATTCCAGAAGACGGTAAATATAATCATTCTGTGCAGGAAAACAACCGTAAACAGTTTGATTAAATATATAAATCTGCATGGTCATACAAACAACACAAAAATGGTATTTAAATAGTTTAAGAGTTAAATTATTTAAAGTTATACTCATGTTAAAAACATAAATTTAAGATACTTTAGATGTAACCTTCTTATGTAAACCTAATGTCACAAAAGGACGTCACCAGCAACAACAGAAATAATAGGCCTTGATTTTTTCTGTGCATTTATAAATCCTCTTTTCCATTTTCTCAGGTTAAGAGAACCATGCATATAAGATTGATTATCTTAATAACAATAGCCAGGTGTAACCATGCTGCACTGTGAAGTGGCTCCGCTCTGCTTTTTCACACAGTTCCCTATGAGGAGCCAGCAGCGGTGCCCTACTGGCCCTACTCCACCACGGACTTCTGGAGATACGTGGAGCATTTTCGCAGCCTGGGGGCCTACAACCAAATAAATGAGATGGCGAGGGCTTTCTTCGCCCACCAGCATTTTGGAGATACCCTCGGCTACGGAGTTCGTGAAGGGCACGAACATTAGAATAACATGGAATGAAGCTCTCTAGATGCTAACGTTAACATTAGTTCACAAAATATAAATGCTTAGTTATTAGTTGATGTGCATAGTGCTAGAAATGAGCCAAAATTAAATATAATCCTGTATTCATTTTAAGCAGTTAATCGAGTAAGGTCATTTTAGTATGTGTGCTCGCCTAGAATAAATTTCAAAATAATTCAAGAACTTTGCGTGTCGTTTGTCCATATTACTAAATTATGCTTGTATGGTAATAATTTATATAAACATTTTCATTAGCAAAGAGAACTCCGATGCCAAACACACAAAAACGTCCTATCCGTTTTACTTGTAAAATAACCTGGATATTATTGGTTCCGCTTTGTGCCGGTATCGGATATATTTTCGTGTAGCCCCACCGGAAGTACGGATCGTGGCCGATTGCTGGTCGTGTGAGACGGAATTGTACATTTACTTATGCCGCTTAAGGATCAGTCAAACTCCACCGTGATGAAGCCTGCAGTGGACGAGATGTTTCCCGAAGGCGCCGGACCTTACGTGGATCTCGATGAGGTCTTACATTGCTTGAAACGTTAATGTAAAAACTTTCGAATCCCTGTTGTGTCTTTTCTGGAATAATTGCATGTAACTGCCCCGATTTGGCGTAGGTAGCTAACTACTGGTCAAAAATACGTATATAAGTGGGATTTTTATAATGAAGTAATCGCACCTGAAAGTCACTGCTTGAGGTATAGTATTATAGCTGCTTACGAACCTTAATAATTGTGTTTACGCTGAGGTTACGGCGTTGGTGTCCGTACTGCTCACTTATGTACTTGGTACATATAAGGTACATAGTAGGGGTGCGATTGTAAAGGAATGGGCGTATTTTACCTTTCTTGTCATTTTCCATTTTAAAGCCAAAGCTTTTTTGTTTCACAGGCAGGGGGGAGTACAGGATTGCTAATGGATTTAGCTGCCAACGAGAAAGCGGTTCACGCGGACTTCTTTAACGGTGGGTTTTATATCGGGTTAATCTGCTGTACTGTATATTCACTTAGGATACATTTACTTTTACTAAAAACTTTTCGGAAAAAATGAGTTCTTTCGGTAAAAATATAAAGTTAGTTCATAATGAAATTGGTATTTAAACATAACTACAATGCGAAAGTAACTTAAATGTAACACCATTCATTGCTGTTTCTATTATATACATCTTTCATAACATTCAACTAGAACCGATGTCACTGGCTATGCCACCATACAATGATATTTACATGGAAAAGATTTAAAAAAATAAAAATAAAAAAATCTAAGGAATGCCTGGACAAAATAGAATTTTCCATATTGGGTTAAAAGTGCATGTTTGTTTCGTCCATTAGCAAGTTCTGTTCCTTTGAGCTGTTTCCACTGAAATTCTTCCACCTCCTTCACCTCTCCTTGTCATTCAAGGAAAAAATGTAAGGTGTCTAGGGTAAAAACCCTTACAATTCAAAAGACGTTTCTAACAGTAAGTGTAACAGACTTGCAGCTGACCGCTGGCGCTGTAACAGAATTTGTTTGCCTGTAGCCGTTTTATCCAGTGGAGTGTAAGGTGACATTCCATTACCTTTCCTGCAGTCGTTTACATTTAAAATCTTCTCAGAACCCAGACCGAATGAAGCCCTTTGATTATGGTTCTCTGAACATTCTGCACGACGTTAGTGAGCGTGGCTGCAATGTTTTGGGGCCTCTTAGAACTGCAGTGTTGCTAAAGTCAATTATTCCAATTCTATTTTACCCTGCTTGTTTGATGCCATGCATAGCCTGTTTCATCCTGTCAAGGGTATCATGCACAATGAATAAAATTAAAGATTTTTGACCATCTTATGCTTGTTACAATCATATTTTCATCCAGGAATCTACATTTTTGAGGTGTATAACTAAGATGGCACTAGCTATAGATTTATAGATTTTTTTTTTCCCCACAGCAGTGCCTCTCCCCACCCCACCCCACCCCCCAACCCCCCGGGGTGAACCCCCAAAACACGTGTAATGTTTTTTACAGTATAAAGTAACAGGCTATTAGAGTGCGGGAGGAACTGTAGTTAGGACTGCATGCTGTTTTATGGGGCCTGGTTAGGCTGCAGCACAGTGCGGCTCCCGGCTTAGGGCTCCTGCATCCATTCCCCTCAAGCCCACACTTGAAAACATATGTTGTGCCGGCAAATGGCTGCTTTTCCATGAGGGTCACGCGGGAGGTGGAGGGGCGATAAACAGGATTGCTAATAGATTTTGCATGTAACAATATGCAGTCAGATCATGATCGCTATGATGCTGAATGTTCGGTCAAGAGCAATGTTGTCAATGCTGTCTGTGTAACTATTAAATTGTGTTTTTACTTCACCCTACAGATTTTGAAGACCTTTTTGATGACGACGACATCCAGTGATTCTCTCCTTGTTATCCCCGTGGAGTTTCTGTTATAGGATGGACCTCTTGCTCTAGAAAATGGACTTTATTCGTTGAGTTGGGCAGACTGTTTCATGTTGTTAATAAATTCTGTAAAGCTTTCCAGCTGGTGCCAGATGTTCCCAAATTCTTAGAATGCCAAACATTTGGCAGTGCGCTCTGTTAAAATTACGGCACTGGGTCATGTTCGTGTCTAATGCTGCTTCTAGTGAAGATTGTAGGTTTGCTCTGGGATTCAGAACACCTGTTCCTGGTCTATTTTGAGTGTAATAATATCCTCAGTGATAATGATTAATTAATTCTGACATGGCATCTTAATAAGGATATTAATAGAATATGGAGTCACAAATAAACGTTCCATCCTAATCATAACACAGAAACTGATGCATGATTTGTACATTCCCACCTGAAACGGTTTTGCTACATAAGAAATGGGATGGCAGACACGTCCATTGATGTGAAATCTTGGCAAGGAAGAAAGATACTTAAGGAAGAATCTCATGGTTGATATGCAAATCTGTGAGAAAGTGACCAGCCACAAAAGTTGTTTTAAGAACGAATCTCCACTTTCCGAAAGACCGGAGAAGCAGTCAGCCTAGAAGACTGGCAGTATACAGTGGACAGTCTTTAAAGAGCTTCAGCTCCTTGGATCAGAAATACTTCAAGCATTGCTTGCAGCTTAACTGAAATATTTTCACTCATAGTGAATAAACTTTGTCAGTTGAGGTTTAGCATTAATCTTTAAACAACTGGAAACTGCTCACAACACCACAGATCCAAGATCAGTTTGATAAATGGTTTTAGTTAATTGCTTGGGTATCTGATGGCATAGTTGGCAAAATGAAGAACGGTCAACTGTGACTTCATTGTCACACATAGGTGCCGAAATAGTTTTTATTTGGTTTCATCCACAGCTGATGTGGCCGTTGAATGAAGTACATCAGAACCTTGCAGACGCGTCCTCGCTGAATTACTACCATCAATGTTACCGGGGTGACTTTGTCAAAACTTGCCCAAAAGCCATTTTGGTTGAGTGTCCATGTTTATACAAGCCAGCAAGGCCTGTTGGGTCCCTCCTGGAGCTTCTGTGTCTAACATTAAACTGCTTATGTGGCACTATTCTTCCAGCTTCCAGCTCCGTGTCAAACGTGGCACGTGATTTATCACCTTTTAAAGACCACTTTAATGATTTCTCCATCCCACGCACTCCTATGACGTCCACACAACTCTTCCAATCAGAGGTATAGCTTCCTAAATCCCTGAAGCCCCATTGGCCAGGCTGCTGGCTGTACAAAACCAATCCCAGTGCTACTACCATGTGATGCACCTTTTGTTTTTAATGATCAAGCTGCTGTTTAAAAATGCTGGCCTCCAAACTCACGACCCAGTAGGCTCAGTAGATGGGCCAAGTTGATGGGACCCACCACACTCCCTGCCCAGCTTGAGTTCAACTGGTCCAACTTAGTCTCCTGCAGAGGTAAGTGTAGTATTTAATACTTGTCTTTTGCTGCGATGGAGGTTCTATGTTGTTTACAAAAAGTTAAATGCATGAGAAATGTCCAAAGACTTCAGATATTCCCCTTCATTTATTGGTTTGAATTTCAGTAAAAAAAAAAAAAAAGGTTTCTAACTGATTAATTTCAAATGTTTTTCAACAGTCAACCAACCAAAAACAAGATAGACAGTACAGTTCAGTACAAAAAAAAAAAAAACATTTCCCAGATAACAGAAATTGCAGGAATTAGATGTGGTTAAAGATTTAAGTGGAGGCTATGAAGAAAGGATATTTGTTTTCTTTGTCAATTCAAACAATAAAGCATAAGATTCTTAAAATTAAGAGTGCACATGTTCCCCATATATACAATCAGATGTCGACTGAAACAGAAAACGTTGATTCGGGGTTTTAGAACTTATTCCTGCGGTTAAGCATTTGTCGTGTCTGATAACTCTGGATGCCAGACTGTTAGCCAGTGTTGATAGCGTGTGTCGTGATAGAGACTCAGGGCTCGCTGCCTCAGAGCTTGCTTGGTGCTGAAAGGAGAGCTCCTCACATTCTTCTCCAGGTTAGCCGACTCGCTGTCCTGCAGAGCATCCATGCCTATTCATTTGTGAAATCTAGTTTTTTATTTTAGTTTTTTTATTGTCGCTGTAAGCAGGAAAGTTGAAAATGGAAAAATCAAGACTGATTGTCATCACTGGAGTGCTGCTCGCTACCTCCCTGTTACCAGGTGAAAACAATCGTTTGCAGTCGAAGAATCTCTGAACAAATATGTAACTGAAGGATCTGAACAAACAACAAGCAAGCAATTCATGTGTCATTAGATGATTATACAGCAGTCGTGCTGGCTGTCTTTCCCACCTTCTTAAGCAAAACCACTGGCCAACAATTTGCTGGCTGATTTGTAAATGGGAATTTCTTAATTTCTAGTTAAATAAAAAACAGCACAAATAATGGAAAATGATTATCTCATCTTTGTGTTTTAAAGCATAAGTTTTCACCATTTAAAAAATAACTGAGAAGCAGCCACACGCCTTATATGGCAAAGCACATGTAACTATTAACAGTAAAGACTCTTTGGTACCATTGTTCTCCATTACAAACCAAGGTACTTTTACCACTATCGTTACCATGGAAACTATTTTCAGCCTCTCCTTCTGTTATATCATAAACTTCTAGGTTTAAGCTCAAGCTGTCTAGAAAAGCAGGAAATAAGCCTGCTGTTTGGCGTCTTGCCCACGCTTTGTACTTTTATGGGTCCCCCCCCCCCCCCAGCAGGTCATCATATATATATACACATACACCCCCGCATGTTCAAAGCTTTTTAATGTAGTGCTTGAAGATTAATTTGCTGTAGGAGGCAATTAGCCAGGTAAGGGATTTTCCTCATCTTAAAACATATGGCATACGGTTACTGATGACTGTGACCCCCCTCCCCCCCGCGATTTATTGGTGTCTTTGTAGAGACCCTCTGGGCTGGTCCGGTCGGGAAGCATCTGAGGGATGGACATGGTAAATATGGCCTGTTTCCTGGCCTTCGGGCTTTTTGTTGCTGCAAGGCGATACTTTTTAACCTGTTGCAATGAACCAGTACAAGACTTTGAAGTACATGCAGATTTTTCTCCTGCGGCTCGTAGCTGGAGATGCAGCCAGTGAGGGACAGGCCTCCAGGAAAGCCGTGTCAGGGAATCCCCTTCGCAGCAGGAGGAGTGCCAACAGCCCAGACTTCTGGACTTGGTACAAATTCTTCATGGATACCGGGAATCAACAGGGAGTGAGTCCACCTCTGTCCAGACTATAACTTCAATAGCACTCTAGTACATTGTGTTATAGAATACTAAGGTTATAGAATATGGGAGCTTCAGTTGATCAAGATCTGTCGATCTCCGTTTATTTCCCCATGACATCCTAGTGGGCAAGGGTGAAGATTTCAGGTCCAGAGAGTAGAAATCCAGACCAAGATTTTGTTTCAACCAACCAGTTGAGAATCTCCACCTCTGCTGGGGGGTGATTTTCAAGCTACCATCAGTGCTGCATATTGTTCATCTCATGCTGCACCCTCCACCCTCCCAGGTACAGGACTTTGACCGCCTTTACCAGCTCTACCTGCAGAACCAGCACCGTGTGGAGGGGGGTCGCTCTTTCGGCCACTACCTGCAGCACCTGAGGGCGATCTACAGAGCCTGCTCCGAATCGGACGACCCCGACTGCGTCCGGGAGCACACCAGCAAACCCACAGCCCAGATGGTGATGCCCTGGGTGGCTCCGCTCGGGGCATGTGACCCGTATCTCGATCCTTACTGCCTGTTCGGCGGCACGACCCCGAAGGCCATAAACCCGGAGCCGGCAGCCGGAGCCAAAACGCCACTGCCGCTCTACATGCCTGCGTTCCCGCTGTCTGCCAAAGCTCCTGCCGGCTACTACTCCTCTCCGGTCCTCCACCCCTACCTCACCGCCCAGCAGCAGGAGGAGCTGCTGCGTATCTGTAACCCCTCCGACGTCGAGTGTCTGCATTACCACCTGCGTGCCGCCTATGGTTACACACCAGTCGCCAGTCCATTCCTGTCCTACAGTCAGTCGCCATCTGGGTTGTACCACCTGTACCCGACGTGCGATCCTGACCGCGACCCTTTCTGCCTCCCACCTCCGTCCCAGCCGGCCAGGAACCCTGGGGATGGAAGCCCCGCCTCCAGCATGACCTGTGACCCTAGGTACGACCCATACTGTCTTCTCACCGCCCCTGCCGCCCTTGGCTGGATGGGCCAGCTCCAGCAGCCATGGCACCGGCCGGGCACCAGGGGGAAGACGAAGGAGGGCTACGATTGCTACCTGTTCTACGACAAGGAGTGCTACCCGCTGGGCGCCGAGCCCGGCTGCCACCCCTACGACCCGAACTGCAGGAAGCCGCCCCAGCCCGCCAACCTCGTCGCAGGCGGCAGATCCGCCGGCGACGTGATGGAGCCTCACCCCGACTGCGACCCCGAGTACGACTACAACTGCCGCCTGCGCCGGTACCAGCCCAGATCTGACAGCAAAGCCATGCAGAAGGATGAACCTGACCATGGAGAGACCAAGCAGGAGGCCCAAAGCGATGACCCATTCCAGGGTGGACACGGGGAACCCAAATCAGACCAGCACCTCACCCAATCCTTCAAAGAGTTCCTGAAGGAGAACGCTCACCAGTAACACCAGATACGGGTCACATGCTTTCATTAATCTTTATTCCAGGAGCAGAACAAGACATCAGGGGAAATAAGTGATCTTCTGTGTGACTCCACATGCATACAATGGTTGAAACAATGTTTCCCTGAATTCCCTCATTATGCCTTTGTAAGCACTCACACAAAATGTCAGACAGATGTATGCGTGAAATCTTCACATTGCCCTGAAATTTTACCATTTATTATTCCCATAATTTAGTGTTTTAAATACAATGGGTGACACTTAAATTGGGTTCAATCAGCTTATTTTTTTAACTTCTGTTATGTTGGGTATTAATTCCATGATTGTTTTCTTAAAATTGATCCTTTATCCATCTGTACCTCAAAATCATGTGTCAGTTTGAAATGTGATAATTTTCCCTTTAAATGTTCAAAATAAAGAACTGTAGAAACAGAAATCTTTTTCCTGCCTATTTATAAAAACGTCCAGATCATTCCGGCATCTGCAGCACTGCCGGCCAGCCGCAAGCTGAGCTGTACCCAGCGAAAGGCAGTTCCTGAGCCTGCTTTCGGGAGTCAGCGGACCACCACTGGTTCGCCTTGTCATCCTCCTGGACCATAGTGATGTTAACTGCGATTCCTAAAGCACCAGGTCCATTCTTTGAAGGTCATTTCACAAGACAGGATAAATTAGACATATTTGATTTATTCAGCATAAATAATCATGGTGTACCAATGAAGATAAACAGATACCAAAGACTGAGATAACAGAAAAGCACCACAGCATCTGAGCTCGACCCAAGCAGCTCACTGGATCAACGCAACATGGAGGTTAAAAGTCTGCAGTTGCACTCTTCCAGAAGGTTCTAATCTTTAACCCTAATGAAAAGTCTTTGGATAAGCTAGTTAGGTAAAAATGAAAAGTCTAGGTCTGTCTGTGTGGTACAGACTCTCATACAGAGCAGCTCAGGAAAGACTGACCCCTCCCCCCCCTTCCTCCCTTCCTGGGGGGAAACTTGAGCAGAGTAGGCTGAAATGGGGCAGGCAGCAGGGAGCGTCTTCCACACAGGGGAACGGCCTATACCACACACACACACACGGGAGTACAGCACTGCACTGTATACACAGGAAGAGCCTGTATACTTACATCTGTATGTATATGCAGAGGCCAGGCTAACTAAACATACGCCCATGCATGCACACGCACAACTGCAAACTAGCAAGCTGAAACAGATTTACACATTTCTCTACACTGAGCTGTTTAAAGCACACTGGAAACATACACATAGTCTCGCAAAAAGAATAAAGTTGAAACAAGAATGTGTCAGGGTCTGTTTTGTTTAATAAACCCCGTTTTTTTAATTCTCGGAGCCGCCAGTGGGTCGTCCGCCCCTTTTTGTGCCTGATGCCTCGCTCCCGTGCCCGATGATGAAATGCATGTGGTTAACGTAACATACTCCTAACCAGAGAACACAAGCTCCCATTCAGGGCATTCCAGAAGCACATGCACAAAAGAGTAAAAATGGATGGTTTGGTACTTAGAGTGAAGGTCCAAAAATGTAATAATCGTAAGGGATGCATTTCTATCGACATAAATGTGCACAAATATAGAAAATGTCGGTCAGAACAAATATGTAAATATGTGTTATGGGGATTATATTTCCGCATTAACGGAAAATGTGTGACTCAAACAATATTACCGTAGATAATATCCATCCCTTTCCTGTAACCACTTATCCTATTCAGGGTCATGGGGGGTCTGGAGCGTATGGCTGCAAGGGGGGGGGGGAACAACCCAGGATGGCGCACCAACACATCACAGGGTACACTCACATATGCACACCTACGGGCAATTTGGTAACTCCAGTTACCCTCAGCATGTTTTGGACTGTGGGGGGAAACCGGAGTAGCTGGAGGAAACCCCAGGACAGCATGAGGAGAACATGCAAACTCCACATACTGTACGTGGAACCATTGCGGAGACTCAACCCCCCCCCAAAGATAATAATTAGAATGCAGGTTTAAAAAAAATCTTGTAAATGTAAAAAATGCCACCAGTAAAATACTGGAACGCGGAGTTAAAGGAAAAAAAGACTCTGCAAGAGCGAGCACCACTGGTACGATTTATCTGCCGCCTTCGGCCATGAGGGCAGCTCGCGCCACTGGGAGCCCGCAGCCAAGCTTTAAAGCTCTGGCGCTAATGATCACCTTTCCCCGTGTGCATGTGCGAGCATATGAGGGGATCTGGTAATTACAGACGTCGCCTCGTAAATTCTGTCCGTCCCTCACAGCTTAGGAAGCCGGTGGATTTGTGCAGACCTGTGAACTCCTATACATATTTATTCCCCCCCCCCCCCCGCCAAGTCGCGATAACTCCCAGTAGCAGTTTCAGATAAGCTACAAATAAATCCGGTGTTAGTCAATAGGAGCCGCCAACACGAAAATCAATAAATTATATATAAAGCTAGCAGGAGATGCAGCCAGTGAGGGACACATAGGTTATATAAGAATTTGTAAATCGTTATTTGTAAATTGCAGACTACATATACAGATTGAGGGTAGCAACAGGTGTGAGCAAGTTTATAAATTAAGCTTGATTAACTGGTCGGGGAACAGCTTTTTGATTCGTTTAATTAGCTTAATTATTAGGTGAGGCGTTTCCTCCGTGTTATTATACCACATTTGTATAGCTATATCTGCGTTATATGGACAAACGTACTGGGACACACCTCGTAAACACGGAATTCAGTTTCATTCAGACCCATTGCCACAGGTGTATAAGATGAAGTACCAAGCAATGCAGACACACTACGGGAATCACACTCGGTGACTCCGCTCTGTTACTTTACATGGTCTGCCACTTTGTGCCTGAGTTTCTGTTGTTCCTAAACGTTTCCACTTAGCAATAACCGTGGAATAACTAGCAGGAAAGAAATTTCACGAACTGACTTAAAAGGTACCATCCTATGACAGTACCACGCTTTAATTCACTGAGCTCTTCAGAATGATCTAGTCCTTCACAAATGTTTATAAACCTGACTGCATGGCAAGGTGCTTGATTTTATACACCTGTGGCAATGGGTCTGAATGAAACACCTGAAATCAATGATGGTGTGGTATGTCCCAGTACTTTGTTAATACAGTGTATATTGTTTTTCTCTGTTATTTGATTCCTAATAAAAAGAAAAATCTGCTTTTGAATTGCTTTGTTTTTGCTAAGGATGAATTGAATTATTACTGCATCACTTTTATTACGTAAAACAACATTCACACATAATTGTTCGTAAAGGGATGACAATGTATAGTCCAAGGTTATCCCAATGCCAGAAACAGCACAACAATGGCCCATAATTTACACCAAATGTGTAAGGTACTTACATGAAACAAAAATAAACAAATATGAATAAAAAACAACAAAAGCAATATCAAACATTGTAACCCTTCCGTTTTAGGTATTAAAATCAATTGTTTGCAAAAGCATACTTAGCAAAAACAATCACTTAAAACAGATTACAATGTTAGATGACAAGAGAATGTAATAATTTCTGGAATAATTAAATATGAATTTTTGTAATTATACATACTAGAAAATTAAAACTGTGTGAGGTGGATATGTTACTATAAATAGTTTTAAATGCATAAGAAAAATGTTTCGATTTTGTATCATTTAATAAAGTTTATAAGGCAATATTAATTTTAACTAAGGGACCTCACTGTATGAGCAGTTACAGAAAATGGGTGGATGGATGAACTACATTGTAAATCTTTGATTTGCTGCCACCTACCATAATAATTGGAAACTGCAATGGTATATACAGTATATACAATAACCTTCTCGCTGCGACCCGTGTGAAGGCGGGTTTGCAGCTCCTCCTCGGTCCGCATCCAACCCAGCTAACTTATGTCGGCAAGAAAAACATCTTTAGTCTGTATCCCAGTACAATTCTAGAGCAATTTGTTATTTTGTTGTCAGGGTTTCTGCTAGACGCACTAATGTCTCTCAATAAATACACAAAGATTCTGCTGCAGGATACGTGTGGTTGTATGTAGCTGTTTTGCTGTTAGTTACACATTTCCATCAGTAGCTAACTTTCTAGCCAATTAACTACCAAACTATAACTAGGTTAGAACTTTTTGCTGATACCCACTCAGTGGTCTGCTCTGCCGGCTTCGTATGGGTTCCCAGGTTCATGGAGGCAAGATATTAGCTAGTGAGCGATGCTACTGTGGTACTGTCCATATACTGGCATAAATCAGCCACCGCAAAGTATTTTCTGAACATACAGCAGGATTGACAGGCTCGTGAGGTGACGTATGGGAGACCGGGTTGGACGTCCAAACACGCTTTGCCGCAGGTCGCAGTGAGACATTCTTGTAATTTTGTGACATCCGTGGCTGTGTTTCACCGTAATCCTAGACTCAATAAATCCAAAGATGCAGGCATAGGAAATTCTAGAAATATTAGTCTTAGCCGGAAGGTGTTGACAGATACCCTTTCCAAGCTTGGGATTTCCATACCATCCCTGGGGAGCTCACGTCAGATGGTGTGGAAGCGTGTTGTGCCACATGGAGACCAGCGCTGGGCCCAGGGTGTGATCTTCCTGCATCTCTTCATGGTGGCGCATAGCGGATCACGTTACATGGATTCCTATTTCGGGCGTAACCCAAATAGATACCCTGGCACGCTTATCAATGCCGGTTACAGAATTTAGAGAAATACAAGTTCATTGGGTCAACTGTGCATGCAGAAGCTCCTGACATCATCTGTATGTCACATGACCACAGTGGGAATGATAGAATATGGTTTAGCTGCAGGGTTTATGTCTTGGTTTAATAATGATGACAACTGGGAATTTGCTATTAATAAAGGAGATGAGGGCAGCAGCTGGTGGGTTGGGTGAGGTTCAGGAGATGGATAAGCGGTGTCACGTTGGCGGGGGAGGCCGCGGGCGCACGCGGTCGGGGGGGACGAAGAAGCGGTGTCACGTTAGCGTGGGAGGCCGCGGGCGCATGCGATGGGGGGAGACGGAGAAGCGGTGTCACGTTGGCGCGGGAGGCCGCGGGCGCACGCGGTCGGGGGGGACGAAGAAGCGGTGTCACGTTAGCGTGGGAGGCCGCGGGCGCACGCGATGGGGGGAGATGGAGAAGCGGTGTCACGTTGGCGCGGGAGGCCGCGGGCGCACGCGGTCGGGGGGGACGAAGAAGCGGTGTCACGTTAGCGTGGGAGGCCGCGGGCGCATGCGATGGGGGGAGATGGAGAAGCGGTGTCACGTTGGCGCGGGAGGCCGCGGGCGCACG